ATCAGAGAAATGCAAATCAAAACCACAATGAGGTACCATTACACGCCAGTCAGGATGGCTGCTATCCAAAAGTCTACAAGCAATAAATGCTGGAGAGGGTGTGGAGAAAAGGGAACCCTCTTACACTGTTGGTGAGAATGCAAATTAGTACAGCCACTATGGAAAACAGTGTGGAGATTCCTTTCAACTATTCTTAAACAGACTTCAACTTAATCTGACCTCATAGGGGCTACATTAGCCCAGGAAAAGACCTTATCCTCAAGAGGTGGTTATGAATAAACCTGGCCTAAGATGTTCTGAATGAAATCGCCTGGGTGTCCATTTTTGGCCAGAGTACAATTTTATCACATCCAATTGCAGCATTTTATTCTAACTTCACCAGACAAAGATAACTGAGCTAATCTATTAACAGATATATATATGGCATGTAAGACATGATAAATCTTAGCTAGAAGACAAAAAAACAAATTTTATAGTTTCTGTGTTACATTACTGGCCATATGTTTTACATATAATGTGCTACAGTACTGTTTGTTATGTGATGAATTTCTCCATAGTCTTTTCTGTCACATCTAAGACTCAGCCTCACAAAATTCATACCTGCAAAGGCTAGAAATAATAAACAAAAATATAATAACATTCTCATATTTTTCCTGAATAAAACATAAGTTTTAAGCCTTACAACAGAAGAATAGGTTATTGTCTTTCAAATATTTTTGCAAAAATAAAAAATAAGAGAAAAAACCTATTATGTGCCAGGCTCTGTTTTAAGTGCATTAACTCACTTCATCCTTGTGACAATCCTGTAAGGTAAATAGTATTACTGTTTCATTTCAAAACTGAGGAAGTTGAGACACAAAGAGGTAAAGGCACTTGCCAAGGTCAAACAAATAGTACCAGACGGGACATGGATTTAGGCAGTATAGTTCTAAAGTCCCTGTTCCATACCAGCTCATCCAGTCTGATGGTATAATAATCATTCACATGGCATTTCATAAAGAATCTAGAATATCATCTACGGTCAATATGTAAACATATTAACATTTACCTCTTCAAAAACAGCCCTGGAAAAATCCCCACAGCGTAATGTACCATCATAGCTCAGTGACAGAAGGTGAGCCGGATTGGCAGGTGAGAAGTAAAGACAGCTAACCGGTTGACTGTGGGGCTGAAAAAGATAAACTCCATCCTCTTTAGGTTGGTGAGTCTAAAAGAGAGTTAGGGGTGGGGAGAGAGACAAACTGGTGAGAAATAGTAATATATTCCATGTCATTAAGTTGTTAAAATGTTTATGTCTGTATTATATTCAGTCTTTTCTCAGTCTATTATTATACCCAACCTCCTGATTAGAAAGTCAGAACTAGAAACTTTATACTCTAAGTTATTTTCCTAATTTTCAACCCAACAGAATTGTCTCATTTATGTTAACAGTTTCCAGTTTTTTGCAACTAGACAAGTAGTTTTTCATAATGCAGAGGGGAAATAATTACTGCTTATTCTGACTTCATTTCATGAAATACTCAGGAAATGTGAGATTTACTTTTTATTTCACACACAGGATAATTCCTTCCTACTAAAATACATCAATGTCACTTCTACTTTGCTTGCTAAGTATGCTTCTATATGAGTAAATCATCCTGCGCACAATTTTCGTAAGGTGTTTGGTTCTGGCACAAAATGATAGTTTTTTAAATATTTTATCCCCTAAATACTCTGGCCACCTGATGCAAAGAGCTGGCTCATTAGAAAAGACCCTGATGTTGGGAAAGATGGAGGGCAAAAGGAGAAGGGGGCAGCAGAGGATGAGATGGTTAGATAGCATCACTGACTCAATGGACGTGAGTTTGAGCAAACTCCAGGAGGTAGTGAAGGACAGGGATGCCTGGCATGCTGCAGTCCATGGAATCACAAACAGTCAGACACAACTTAGCAACTGAAGAAAAAAAAAAAAAAATCCCCTAAATACCCCATGAAAAATGCATGTATTTGAATTTCTATAGTAATAGTACTGCTTCTAAAGATTATCCTTTCACTACTGGATTATCAACTCTGAAATCATCATGTTTTGAATTTCCATGTTATATGCCTATACCACATGTTATATCATGAACCAACAACTATCATCTCCAAATCTAGCTTAGTCTGCTCTGAAATACTCAAGCATTGGCTTTGTCTTTTTTAAGTTTTTAAAGAGAAAAAAATTTTAAAGGAAAGAAAGAAAAAATCTTTTTAAAAAAAGGAAAAAAATTACAATAACACAAACTCCTCCTCCTACCCAGAGTTAACCACTGTTAACACTCGGCATATTGTCCATAGCATATATTTTTTAGAAAAACAATACTCTCCAGACAAAAATTCTGAAAAATCATTCAAAACCCAAAATTGACCAAAATTATCACTGAAATACTAAGCAATCATTATAGATGTCTTTACATGTAGTTACTTATATGGATAGGATAGAGAAGAAATTGGGGGGGGGGGGGAGGCCACTTTTAATAGTATTAAATTTAACTATACTTTAAAATAATAAAAGCAAGCTGAAGGAATTTTTGAATTTCGAGTTATTTCTTTTTTTTTTTTTGAGTTATTTCTTTACAAGAGTTATCTAAGAAGGAAAAAGTATAAAGCATAAAGCACTTACAGTCATTAAGCTTTATTTTTAAATTTAACTATGTATGTCTCAATTTCCGATTTCTATTGATTGAGGACACTATTTACACCCCACCCGCCCCGCCCAATCTCCCTTTTTTATCTCTACATTTATTTTTAATTTTTCCAGGTTAACAACATTCATATCTAGTTCTGTAATCATAATTCATATTGCTATTTAATATTAGTTCTGCATTTAGATGGATTTAATACTCATTATTGATTCTTCTGTTAAGCTTCTTCACTCCTGAATTCTTAATTATGACTTACTTTTAACTGGCTGAGATTTTCTATCAAGCAGTTTTTCCAGATAAACTCACAGGTCTTGAATTTCTAGAGTTTTTTCACGTGTGAAAATACCTACCTGCTGCGTTTACATTAGAATAACATCCTGGGCTACCTATGTATTCCAGGACACACTTCCTTCCCTCAGAACTTTGTAGACATTACACGAAATGTTGTAGAAAACTGAGGCAAGTCTGACTTCTCCCCTTGAATATAATTTGTTTTTCCTACCTGAAGAATTCTTTGTCCTTTAAGCTCCAAAGTTTCTGAGAACGTGGCATACATTTTCAAATGTGCCAATTCAATTCTGACTTGTCTCTTAAAACTTTTCTCATCTGTGTTTAAGATAACCTCAAATCTTTCCTTTACTATCAGTAATTTTATTTTCAGCAATGTCTACTATTTTGTTCCTTCTAATCTATTAGTTTTACTGATTTTCTATTTGTTTTCTTAGTTTTGCTGGCTCCTTCATTCCATTGTTTGTTATCTTGAGTCCTATTTTACCAAAATTAATGCTATTATTAACTTACTCCAGAGCATCACTGTCCAAAAGAACTTTCTGAGATGACAAAAATAATACATGTATGCATTGTCCAATATGGTATCCACTAGTCATGTGTGGCTATTAAGCACTTGAAATGTGGCTGGTATAAGTGAACAACTGAATTTTCTATTTTAATTGCTTTAAAAATAAACACAGGTATCCTCGCTATTCAAAAGTTTGCTTTTTGCTTTATACCACTTCACTCTTAGAAAACACCTGTATTAATACCTATTTTTGGTAACTGAAGGGAATCCAAGAGGATTTTCATTTTTATGAGAAAAGGTAAAAAATGAAAATAGAATTCAGCATTTGTTTTGCAGGAAGCTGTTACAGAGGCAGCGCACCCCAAGCAGCAAGGGGCACCAACCACGCTCTGACCCAGGGAACTTACACTCAGTATCTCAGCATGAAGTCGCTCTTGGTTCTGAACTGTGTCTGACAGCATCTGTACTTTATCTTGATTTATTCTGTGCATTTATTAGCAAGACACCTTAAGGTAATTGTCTCTTTCATTATACCATTTGAGTTTACAAACCGTTTCATAGTAATACTCTACTTTTGGATGAGGAGGGAAACCCGTAGTCCAAATTTCATTTCAGTCCAAAAATAACAAGTGTGCATCTAATGACTTCAAACTGAAATGAGTCCAGGACCAGTTTGGTTTGAGCCTAGAAATGACTGTCTGTACACACTGGATTGGAATATGAAAACTGAAAGTACAAGCACCAATAAAGACTATTAATCCCAAAAAAGAAAATGTAGCCCTCACTAATGTGGTGTTAGCCAGGATAGGAAGGCGGGGAAATGATTTTACTAGACATAAGGAATGAAGGGATAACCTAACTATTCCATGGCTTCCTCTTGCTTTCAGGATAAAAAGTGAAATTCTCAACAAAATTTATGAAGACATACATCTGACCTCTTCCCACCTCTGTATCCCGCCGCGACTCCACTCATCCCTTCCATCCATGCCTTTCTTGTCCATGCTCCAGCCACACAGGCATATTTCAGGTCCTTGAATGTATCAAGCAGGCACCCTACCGCCGAAGGTCCTTGACATTCTGTTCCTCGTGCCTGAAATGTTCTTCTCCCTTTGTTTGCTTGGTTTATTCCTACTTAGCTTTCAAATCTCAACTCAATTCTCACTTCTTCAGGGAAGCCTTCCCTGATGCTCCAAATTAGGCCAGTCTACCTGCTACGGGAAAATATCACTTCCTTCACTCCATTAATCACCGTATATAATTCACTCCACTTATCAAACATATAATTACTTCATTCATGTTGCTTTTGCCACTAAATTCCAAACCCTATGAGAACATGGACAGTCCTTCCTCACAAATATGGCTGGGGTATCATTAGAAGAGTACTTAACGCAAAACACTCAGTAAGTGTGGAATGAATGAATGAGTGCATGAGTGACCAAATGACAACGCAACTGTTGACCCTGGGTGAGACTAGGAATCTTTTTTTTTTTTTTTTTTTTTTGAGACTAGGAATCTGACAAAAAGTTAAGTGGAAAACTGAGGGACTACCAAGGCAACTCAGTGCGGTAAAGGAGTCTTCCCACAAACAGTGCTGGGACACTGGATATACACAGATAAAAAGATGAACTGGGGCCCTAACTTCAGAGCATATGCAAAAACAACTCAAAGATAATAATAACTCAAGGTGGATCAGTGAACTAAACGTGAAAGCTTAAACTATAAAAATATTTAGAAAAATACATAGGAGAAAAACTTCCTGACTTTGCGCTACACGGAAGATTTCTTAGATGACACCAAAAACACAATCAATTAAAAATTTGATGAATTGGACCTCATCAAAACTCAAAACTTTTGCACTTCAGTAGCATTAAGAAAATGAAAAGACAAGGAGACAAATTTGTAAATCAAGTATCTGATAAGGATGCACATCTAGAGTGTACAAAGAACTCTTATAACTCAACAAGAAAACGAACAATCCAATAAAAAAACTGACAAAAGACTTGAATAGACATTTCACCAAAGACACCCAAATGGCAGGATAAGAGCCTCAACATCATTATTCATTAGACAAATGCAAATCAAAACCACAGGGAGATAAAACTTCACTAGGAAGATAACACGCACTTGAAAGGCTATAATCAGAAAGACAGACAATAATAAATGTTGGTAAGCATGGAGGAAAACTGGAACCTTTGTACATTGCTGGTGGGAATAGAAGATGGTGCAAACCCTTCGGAAAGCAGTTTGGCAGTTCCTCAAATGTTAACCAGTTACCATATGACCTAGCAATTCTATTCCCAGGTACCCACTCAAAAGAAATAAAACACATTGCCACACAAAAATACGTACACAAATATTTAAAATCAAATTATTCAGAACAGCCAGATAGTGGAAACAACCCAAATGTCTACCAAGTGATAAATGCATAAACAAAATGTTGTATAATCAAACAAGGAAATACAATTCAACAATAAAAGACAGAAGTGCTGATAGATTAGCATCTACTAGCATGTTATAGTAACACAGATACACCTGAAAACCCATACTAAAAGAAAAACACCAACATAAAAGACCATGTATTCTATGATTCTATTTATATGAAATATCTAAAAAGTGCAAATTTGTAGAGATTTGCCTGGGGATAAGGGTAGAAACAGGGATTAAATGTAAATAGCCATGAGGAATCTTACAGGAATGATGAAAATGTTCTAAAACTGAATTGTGATGATGGTTACACAACTCAATAAACTTACTAAAAATCATTAAATTGTACATTTTAAATGTGTGGATTTTATAAAATGTGAATTATACCTCAACAAAACTGATTTAAAAAACAAAAACTAGGGGAGGACGCCCCTGGCTGTCCAGTGGCTAAGATGCCCCACGCCCTGTGCAGGGGGCTCGGGTTTGTTCCCTGGTCAGGAAACCAGATTCCACATGCCAAAACTAAAGAGTTCACATGTTTCAACTAAAGATCCCACGTTCCACAGCTAAGATCAAAGAACCCATGTGCCACAACTAAGACTCAGCACAGTTAAATAATAAAAATAAATATTAAAAAAAAAACTAAGGAAGTTGGGGAGTGAGAACAGGATAGCTAAGACACCGACTTTAGACTTGCTCAGTCTGTTGAGATAACCAGGTGTCCTGAAAAACTAGAAAGTTGATTAAAACATTGCACTGCAGACATCCAATAAAAACGATGTTTGGAGTCATCAGAAAAGACACGACAAATGGACTGTTCTACATGTCTTCAACATATCATCAACACCCACCCTGAAAAGGTACTCACTTGACTGTGCTAATTCTCTATTTTTCCTTTTCTAAGTTCTTCAACAAATAGCCTATCCACTGTTTTCATTTCTTCTTCTACTTCATATTTTTTAAATTTTTGTTTTATTTATTTTTGGCTGCACTGGGTCGTCATTGCTGCATGTGGGTTTCTCTAGTGCAGTGAGTGGGGGATACTCTTGACTGATGCTCAAGGTTCTTATCACGGTGGCTTCTCTTGTTGCAGAGCACAGGCTCTAGGCACCCAGGCTTCAGTAGTTCTGGCTCACAGCCTTAGTTGCTTCACAGAATGTGGAATCTTCCTGGATTAGGGATTGAACCTGTGTTCCCTGCATTGGCACGCAGATTCTTATCCACTGCACCACCTGAGAAGTCCCCTACCCGTACTTTTTTAATCTCCTAAAAGTCTCTGTTCCTTCCTTACCTTATTGTTGAAGCTATTCTCTCAACTCACTAATCATACCCTATGTCAAAACTAACAGCCCTTTTTTCTGTTCCCATTCGTTTTGGTGGTGGTTTAGTCACTAAGTCATGTCCAACTCTTGCAACTCCATGGACTATAGCCTTCCAGGTTCCTCTGTCCCTGGGACTCTCCAGGCAAGAATACTGGAGTGGGTTCCCATTTCCTTCTCCAGGGGATCTTTCCAACCCAGGAATCAAACCCGGGTCTCCTGCATTGCAGGTGGATTCTTTACAACTGATCTACAAGGGAAGCCACCCATTCTTCTTAACTCCTCTGAAAAAAAGCCCTGTCAGACTCCCACGCTTGAAATTCACCTCTTAGCTTATACAACCTTATACTATTTCTGGTCCTCTTCCACTTCCCTGCTTCTGTTTTCTTTACCAAATCCTTTCACCTCCTAACCCTACTAACATCTTATCAAAATAAGCAAGAACCTATGCACTCAAAATAAAAGAGAACTTGGTTTTTATTTCTTCTCTTCTCACAAAATTCATTTTATTTATTAACCCCAACCCTCGACAAGTCACAATGGCTTCTCCATCTCCATTAACTGTCCTTAAGGCATTTTTCATTTCTTTGTTCTACTTCCCCAATTAGAAAATAAACTCCAGGGCTTCCCTGGTGGCTCAGTGGTGAAGGATCTGCCTGCCAATGCAGGAGACATGGGTTCGATCTCTGATCCGGGAAGATCCCATATGCTGCGGAGCGACTAAGCCGGTGTACCACAGCTACTGAGCCTGTGCTCTAGAGCCCAGGAGCCACAGAGACTCTGCAACAAGACACGCCACCACAACAGGAAGCCTGAGCTTCACAACTACAAAGTAGGCCCTGCTCACTGAGACTGAAGAAACGTCCCAACAGCGAGGAAAACCCCGAAAAGCCAAAAATAAAAAAATAAATAAATTCAGAGAACATTAACTTGGCTTTCTTCAATTCTGTAACCACTAAAAGCAATCAATGCATTATTATATATGCAATGAATGAAATTTAATATCAGTTTCTGACTCATCAAAAAACAACTAGAATCATCCTAAGATCATCCATGGGAAGATATTTTGATCCAGTTTGAAAATTATATTTTAAACAAAATTAGAAAACTAAGAACTTGCTGTGATATTTTCATATATACATTTAAAGCTGTAATAAAGTTTCCTGGCAGGCATTTATGCCCAGATGACTAATGATATTCAAGCTAAAAATGTCAGAAGTTCTATAAAGTAAATTTAAATTCCTCTATGTTTCTAAAATTTGGAATCACAAAGCAATAAATCTCAAGTAACATCTAGAAACACATGGCTCTAGGCTGTTCTTTCGCAGACTATTTCCTTTAGTCGAATTTCAGTATCTTCAAAAAAACAATAACTTACCAAATCCCAAAGTCCAACTTGCCCATATTTGGCCCCAGCTGCCACCAAAGTCCTCATTTCTGATGGGTGGATGGCCATTGAGGTAATTGAGCCTCTGGTAACTTTACAGACAGTGTCTTCACTAATGACCATGCCATTTAAATTGACTTTGTAGCTGAGAACATTAAAAAGTTAAACTTTAGAAGTAAAACCAAACTCAATGGTCAAAACAATGAAAGGTGATTTAAAAAAGAAAAGTCACAATAAATGTGGGAAAATATTCAATTTCCTGGCAATCAAGGAAAGCAAATTAAACAACAGGGTGCTATTTTTCACTCATAAAAGTTAGTAGGCTATAGTTAAACATTCATATATACTAACAGCAGAGTAAATTCATATAAGATTTTCAGAAATTTAAAAAAAAAAGATTTTCGAAAACAATTTGGCATGTCCTAAAGGGGGACCCAGATAACCACAATGCTATGACCACTTACATAGAGCCAGACATCCTGGAATATGAAGTGAAGTGGGCCTTAGGAAGCATCATTACAAAGCTAGTGGAGGTGATCAAATTCCAGTTGAGCTATTTCAAATCCTAAAGGATGATGCTGTGAAAGTGCTGCACTCAATATGCCAGCAAATTTGGAAAACTCAGCAGTGGAAACATTCAGAAAACTAAGATCATGGCATCCAGTCCCATTACTTCATAGCAAATAGATGGGGAAACAGTGGAAACGGTGACTGACTTTGTATTTTGGGCTCTAAAATCACTGCAGAGGGTGACTGTAGCCATGAAATTAAAAGATGCTTGCTCCTTGGAAGGAAAGTTATGACCAACCTAGACAGCATATTAAAAAGCAGAGACATTACTTTGCCAGCAAAGGTCCATCTAGTCAAGGCTATGGTTTTCCCAGTAGTCATGTAAGGATGTGAGAGTTGGACTATAAAGAAAGCTGAGCACCGAAGAATTGATGCATTTGAAGTGTGGTGTTGGAGAAGACTTGAGAGCCCCCTGAACTACAAGGAGATCCAACCAGTCCACCCTAAAGGAGATCAGTCCTGAGTGTTCATTGGAAGGACTGATGTTGAAGCTGAAACTCCAATACTTCAGTCACCTGATGCAAAGAGGCTGATTCATTTGAAAAGACCCTGATGCTGGAAAAGATTGAAGGCAGGAGAAGCAGACGACAGAGGATGAGATGGTTGGATGGCATCACTGACTCAATGGACACGAGTGTGGGTAAACTCCGGGAACTGGTGATGGACAGGGAGGCCTGGCGTGCTGTGGTTCATGGGGTCACGAAGAGTCGGACACGACTGAGCAACTGAACCGAACTGAAAGGCTATAAAAACGTCCATAACATTTGACACATTAACCTCACTTCTGGAATCTATCCTAAGGAAATAATCCACCATCACAATATAATCTTCAACAGATACACACATACAAACACTCAAAACTAAATAGAAAACAACTCCAAATACCAAGAGGTTAAGCAAATTTCATCTACTGAATGAAATATTACTCAATTATTCCATAAATTTAAAGAATAGTAACATCCAACCACAATGTTAATAGAAAAGCATAATGCAAAACTGTACATATATTAAAATATAATGAAGCAAAAATGTATGTAATTATACTCGTTTATTAAAACCTGAACGAATATATATTATGCGCCATGTACTTTTCTGGCTATTGAGAAAAATTCATGCATTCATGAAGTTTGTGTCCCAGTGGTTTTGTATATGGCAATATTTGAAAGAAAATACACTCAAAAAACAGTTGTTAGGGTAGAAACATGATGGATAATGCTTTTCACCTCATTTTCAAATTTCCTCTAATGGCATATAGTCCTTATAATTTAAAGATCTCAGGAAATGTAAAACAAAGGCAAGGGATTTTAACTCACCTTTTAATGCTAGATAATTCCTTCTCAGTGTTTTTACTTCTTGTCTGAAACAATAGAAGAAACCAAAGTACTAAATTAACACATGAACTGAAATTTGCTTAAAAGCTTGGGTTTACCCTCCCAAGTGATACCTTGCTCAGTTCTGCCCAAGTCTGCAAAAATCCTTTAAATAGTTCATCGTCACCATCTCGATTTTCAGGAGTCATTTCTAAAGGCCCAGGAGGTATCAAAGGCTGTTATAAAAAATGAGGAAAAAAAAAAAACTTGGTTGTCACTCTGCCCTAGAATTCAAGCTTGAGGTTTCTCTTTACTTTCAATATCTACAATAAGGGTGACATATAGTCAGCAATCAAAAATATTTGTTCAATGAATGAATGCCAAGTATCCTATAAAGTAATACCATGTATTATCTCATTTAATTTCCTTAATAATCTAGTGAATGAAATACCACATTTCAAAGACAGCAGAATGAAACATAGAGAAGTTAATCTGTCCAAAGTTACACTGTCCATAAACAGAGTTGCTAGGAATTGATTCAGATCAGTTCAATTTCATTACTCAAAGTTATTACTCTGTATCATTTTTTTATATCAGGGATTGTAACCCACAAGTCATGAAATCATTTTAATATGTGACAATCAACAGTGTGTTCTATTGAATGAGAAAAGAATAGACCAGAAAATACAACAGTATATCATATGTAGTAAGAGTTAAATACCATTTAACAAAAGGTTTGTTTCAGGTGTGTGTGTGTGCACGCACGCACACAGAGTAGATTCAATGTATTTCTTATCATGGATGCATAGAGGCTTCAAAAAAATGAGCTACTCTATCCTTAGCAACTTAATTTCCAATTAGCTCTCAAAGCACCAGGCTAATGAGTGCTATCTTCCAAGTTATAATTAAGCACTTAGATAAAAAGTATTAAAAACAGTAGGTGCTCCTGAATAAAAAATAATCTTACTCAGACAATAAATTTGGTAAGTAAAACTCTTTCCACTCACTGACAGCATAAATTAACTACAGTATAGGACCCCCATCATTATTATCACATATTATTATTAATACCACTATTTATTGCTTACTTACTAAGTAATATAAAACATTCAATATAATGTAAGGACCTTTATCCCTCATAACACCCCTTGTGAGAGGTTTCTGTTATTGTTGCTATTTTAAAAATAGGGAAACTGGGGCTCAGAATGGCTAAGCAGTTTACCCACAATCTGACATAGGTTAAGTCTGCAGAAATAAATAATCCAGTCTTTCATGAGTTTGAAATCTTACTCATTAAACCATATAACAGTCAAGTATTAAATTAATGAAGCACAAATTAAACATATTTTACTTTTACTCTACTTTCAAACACTTCAAATTTTTCAGTATTTGATTGAGTTAATATATTGTATTTGCACTCTTTCTTACATTTTCATCTACTTCTAATGCTGTCTGGGCTGGGGCTGCTGGCAACGGCACTCCTGAAGGATCAACTTTTAGTAATCGCATCGACCTTCTACATCCAGTTCCATTTTCTTTTTTCTTGGGCTTCTTCCTAAGGATGGAGGGAAAAACATGTTATACTCATCAAAGAGTTATATGTATTTATTACTCCCAAGGCGATAACTTCTAGTAATGTATCTCATACATATAGTCAAACACTGCAAAGATATATATACATACCTAATTTTAATAAAAAGTTTGGAAACACGATAACTGTTCACTATGGGGAGGAAAGGGGTATTAAATTAAGACATTCATATCTAGTCAACTATTAAGCAGCCATAAAAAAGAATGAAATAGATCTCTATGTGCGACGATATGAACTCTAAGATATCAGAAGCAAAAGAGAAGGTACAGTATATGTTGAATATGGTTACATTTGCTTTTTGACAAAAAAAGACTTAACTATTTCATTGCATTTGCTTCCATATAGTTCACCTTGTAAAATCATAGAGATACCCTACTTTTATTTATTATTTTTTTCATTTAAAAAAGTAGTTCAGAGGCTTCCATGGTGACTCAGTGGTGGGGAATACACATGCCAATGCAAGGACAGAGGTTCAATCCCTGGTTTGGGAATATTCCACCTGCTATGGGACAAGTAAGCCTGTGTCCTGCAACTACTAACGCTCGCACCCTGCTAATTGCAATTACTGAACTCACAAACCAAGACTACTGAACCCACGCACTCCAAAATACATGCTCTGCAACGAGAGAAAAAAAACAAAACCTGTGCACAACGAAGACTCAGAGAGTCAATAAATGAATAAATAATAAATAAAATAAAAATCAAAAACCTCAGAGAGATAAGATGCAGCAATCATGAAATAAAAACAATGTGCTTTTGGACATCCCTAGAGGTACAGTGGACAAGAATTCCTCCTACCAACGCAGGGTATATGGGTTGGATCCCTGCTCAAGGGAGATTTCATGCCACAGAGAAACTAAGTCTGTGTGCCACAACTACTGAGCCCATGTGTCGCAACTACTGGAGCCTGCTTGCCAAAAGTCCAGGCTCCACAACAAGAGGAGCCACCACAGAAAGAAACACACACTCCACAGCGAAGAACAGACCCCACCCAAAGCAACTAGAGAAAAGCCTGTGCAGCAACAAAGACCCAGCACAGCCAAAAGTAAATAAACTAAATAAAACTATGAAAAAACAATTATAATCAGCCTAAATTAATTTTAAAAAACAGTTCAGAACTACCCTGGTGATACACTGGTTAAGAATCCATCTGCCAAAAAAGGGGACATGGGTTCCATCCCTGGTCTGGGAAGATTCAACATGCCATGGAACAACTAAGCCCATGTGCTGTAACTACTGAAGCTCTCGATCTAGAGCCTGAGTTCCAACTACTAAGCCCATGTGCCACAAATACTGAGCCAACATGACCAAGCGCCCAAATTCTGCAACAACAGAAGCCAATACAATGATAAGATCATGCACCACAACTGGAGAGTAGCCCCCGCTCTCAGAAACTAGACCAAAAAAAGCCTGGGCACAGCAACAAACATCCAGCACAATCAATAAATAAATAATAAATAAAATAAAAAGTTTCACATAGACAACACGCTGTAATCATGAAATAAAAACAATGTGCTTTTGGATGTCCCTGGTGGTTCAATGGATAAGAACGTTCCTCCCAATGCAGGGAACATGGTTCAATCCCTGCTCCAGGAAGACTCCATACCACAGAGCAACTAAGCCTGTGAGCCACAACTACTGAGCCCCCTTGCCACAACTACTGAAGACCACTTACCTAGAGCCCACATGCCAAAACTACTTAGAGTTACAAATTCCAGTTCCAAGGCTAAGACTCCACACTCCCAATCTATGGGGCTGAGGTTCAATCCCTGGTCAGGGAATGAGAATCCACACACCACAACTAAAAGATCCCACATGACACAACTAAGACCCAGTGCACCCCAATCAATAATGAAAATAAAATAAGGATTTTTAAAAACCAAAAGACAAACTCCAGGGAAAACTACAGAGCTACAGATAAAATTATGAAATTAGAACATTTTGTCATACCATATAAGAAAACAGACTCAAAATATATTAAAGACTTTAATGTAAGACCTGAAACAATAAAACTCCTAGAAGAAAACATAGGTAGTACATTCTTTGACAGTGGTCTTGGAAATATTTTTCAGATATGTCTCCTCTGAAATATTTTTCAGAAAAAACTCCTTTTGTTGCACAGGCAACAAAAGCAAAAAATAAAATAAAAAAAAAATGCGAAACTTTTTAATGAAACTTAAAAGCTTTTGCACAGCAAAGGAAAACAACAAAATGAAAATGCAACCAATTGAAGGAAAGATTTTTGAAAATGATATGTCCAATAAAGGGTTAATATGTGGGGACTTCCCTGGCAGTCCAGTAGTTAGTTGGTTAAGACTCCAAGCTTCCATTGCCGGGGACATAGGTTCAATCCCTTGGGAAACTAAGATCCTGCATGCCATGGGGACAGTCAAATAAAAGGGTTAATATTCCAAATATATGAACAGCTTACACAATATATAAAAAAAAAATCTGATTAAACAATGGGCAGAGAATCTGAACAGGCATTTTTCCAAGGAAGAAATACAAATGGTCAACAAGCATAAATTAAAAGATTAGAACTACCATATGATCCAGCAATTCCACCCCTAGGTACTTATGAAAAGAAAACAAAAACACTAATTCGAAAAGATACATGCACCTCAACATTCATAGCAGCATTTTTTATAATAGCCCAGTTATGAAAGCAACCTAAAAGTCCATCAACAGATGAATGGATACACACACACACACACACACACACACACACACACACACACAGTAATACTACTTAGCCATAAAAAAGAACAAAGTCTTGCCATTTGCAACAACATGACTGAATCTGGAGGGCAGTATACTTGATGAAATAAATCAGACAGAAAAAGACAAATACTGTATATTATGACTTACATGTGGAATCTAAAACATAAAATGAATGAACATAACAAAACAGAAACACACTGACGGATACAGAGAACAAATTAGTGGTTACTAGTAAGGAGAAGGAGGAGAGGAGGGGGAATATAAGGGTAAAGGAGTAAGAGGTACAAACTACTTTGTAAAAAATAAGCTATAAGCATAGATTTATAGCATAGGAAATATAGCCAATATTTTATAATAACTATAAATGGAGTATAATCTATAAGAATTTTAAATGACTATGTTGTACACCTGAAATTAATACTGTAAATCAACTATACCTCTATTTTTTAATTAAAAATAAATTTTAAAAAAGATATGCAACAGAACAAAAAAAAAACTCCAGGATGGTCCACACAAAAACCTACACATAACATGTGTTTATAGGAGATTTGCTCACAACTTGCCAAACTGGGAAGCAACCAAGATATCCTTAGATACACCAATGGACAAATAAACTGGGGTATTTCCAGACAAGAGAAAATCCAGCTCAGTCAGTCAGTGTCCGACTCTTTGCAACCCCATGGACTGCAGCACACCAGGCTTCCCTGTCCATCACCAACTCCAGGAGCTCGCTCAAACTCACGTCTATCGAGTCAGTGATGCCATCCAACCATCTCATCCTCTGTTGTCCACTTCTCCTCCTGCCTGCAATCTTTCCCAGCATCAGGGTCTTTTCCAGTGAGTCAGTTCTTCACATCAGGTGGCCAAAATATTGAAGCTTTAGTTTCAGGATCAGTCCTTCCAATGAATATCAAGGGTTGATTTCCTTTAGGATTGACTGGTTTAATCTTCTTGCAGTCCAAGGGACTCTCAAGAGTCTTCTCCAACATCACATTTCAGAAGCATCAATGCTTCAGCACTCAGCTTTCTTTTACAGTAAAACTCTCACATGCATACATGACATACATGACTGGAGAAACCACAGCTTTGACTAGACGGACCTCTGCCAGCAAAGTAATGGCTCTGCTTTTTAATATGCTATTTAGGTTGGTCATAGCTTTTCTTCCAAGGAGCAAGAATCTTTTAATTTCATAGCTGCAGGCACCATCTGCAGTGACTTTGGAGCCCCTAAAAATAAAGTCTCTCACTGTTTCCATTGTTTCCCGATCTATTTGCCATGAAGTGATGGGACCGGATGCCATGGTTTTCATTTTTTGAATGTTGAGTTTTAAGCCAGCTTTTTCACTCTCCTCTTCCACTTTCATCAAGAGGTTCTTCAGTTCTTCTTCACTTTCTGCCATAAGGGTCATGTCATCCGCATATGTGAGGTTATTGATATTTCTCCTGGAAATCTTTATTCCAGCTTGTGCTTCATCCAGCCCAGCATTCTGCATGAGGTACTCAGCATATAAGTTAAATAGGCAGAGTGACAATATACAGCCTTTATATACTCCTTTTCCTATTTGGAACCAGGCTGTTGTTCCATGTACAGTTCTAACTGTTGCTTCCTGACCTGCATACTGATTTCTCAAGAGGCAGGTAAGGTGGTCTGGTATTCCCATCTCTTTCAGAATTTTCCAGTTTGTTGTGATCTGTACAGTCAAAGACTTTGGCGTAATCAATAAAGCAGAAGTAGATGTTTTTCTGGTATTCTCTTGCTTTTTCGATGACCCAACGGATGTTGGCAATTTGATCTGGTTCCTCTGCCTTTTCTAAATCCAACTTGAACATCTGGAAGTTCACGGTTCACGTACTATTGAAGCCTGGCTTGGAGAATTTTGAGCACTGCTTTGCTAGCATGTGAGATGAGTGCAATTTTGTGGTAGTTTGAACATTCTTTGGCATTGCCTTTCTTGGGAATGGAATGAAAACTGACCTTTTCCAGTCATGGGGTCACTGCTGAGTTTCCCAAATTTGGTGGCATACTGACTGCAGCACTTTCACAGCATCATCTTTTAGGATTTGAAACAGCTCAACTGGAATTCTATCTATATGGAACTATCATATTCATTAACAAAAAAATCCTAGGAGAACGGACTACAATTGCAGCCTGGCTTCCCATTCATCCCCATCATTATTATGATCAGTCACCAGGAACTGAGCACATATTGGGAATTTTAATATGATCTTGAGTAAATAGGATC